GCCTAACCAACTGAGCCACCCAGGTACCCCAAAGGAAGTTTTGACCAAAATATTCACACATGTGCTCAAAGAAACTTAAACAAATAAAAGGCAAATGATTGGAAAGAAGTAGGCAAAATTATGATCATTTGAAGACAGACTAATCTATCTAGAATATTTGGGAAAATAAACTACAAAATCATTATTTTTCCTACAAAATAAATAACCAAGAAGAGTTATAATATATAATAGAAGTTCCATTCACAGCAACCCCTCTGTTAAGTTTCCTACAGCTGATGCAACAAAATACCACAGACTGGGTAGCCTGAACAACAGAAATTTATCTCTCACCGTTCTGGAGCCTGGAAGTCCAAAGTCAAGGTGTCAGCAGGTTTGGTTTCTGCTGAGGCCTTATTCTGTGGCTTGCAGGTAGCCTTCTCTCTGTGTCCTCACATGGTCTTTTCTATATGTACACACATCCCTGGTATCCCTTTTTATGTAGTAATCTCTGTCTTTTTTAAGAAAGGCAAACGTCCACAAGCTGTAATTCATTTGGAGGTGTCTGGAGTTGTGGAAGCTTGACTGCCCCACATTCTCCTACGAATGGACCTGGAGAACTTGTTTGGAGGTTCCAGCAGAGGAGTGAAGCTACTTGTCTCCCCTTGACTGAAGAATGGTCCTTCTCTAACAGGGAAGGTCGTCTTCTTCCATCAAGTATGCAGCTTCAGAGAGGGACACAGGCACATGCAGTGGTGAGGGAGGAAGGGGACACCACCCTAGCCAGCCAGATCAGCCAAATCAACCATGGTGATCAAAGGGGTGACAAATGTCACAGCCAGATTGCGCTCACATCCCTAATCTCCTTTTATGAAAACACCGGTCAGATTGTTTTAGGGCCTACTCTAACAACCTCATTTTAACTCAATCACCTCTTTAAAGGCTGGACTTCAAAATACAGTCACATTCTGAGATACCTGGGGGTTAGGACTTCAACATATGAATGGGGAGGCATAATTCAGCCCATAATATCCTCAGAAAATATACAGTACCTAAATAGAGCCCTAAGAAGATACATGAACAACCAAACGGATGGTAGCTGTACCATGAAATTATACAGACATAAAAGAATGGATAAACATACCATGTTCTTAGTGGGAAAGTCTCAGTATTATAAAGTACTAATTTGTCCCAAATTTAATTAAACTAAAAGGGGGACGCCTGGGTGGCTCAGTCGGTTAAGCGGCCGACTTCGGCTCAGGTCATGATCTCGCGGTCCATGAGTTCGAGCCCCGCGTCGGGCTCTGTGCAGACAGCTCAGAGCCTGGAGCCTGTTTCAGATTCTGTGTCTCCCTCTCTCTGACCCTCCCCCGTTCATGCTCTGTCTCTCTCTGTCTTAAAAAATAAATAAATGTTAAAAAAAAAACAAATTTAATTAAACTAAAAGGTATAACACAACTGTAACCAAAAGCCCAACAAGACCATCTTTAAAAATCTCTTACGTTTTTTCATTTCTCTTCCATATTTGTTACATTATCTTCAACTGTATATTCTTTATTTCTAATAGGTGTGCCACCATCAGGGGGATCCATCGTCTTCCACCCCAAACTGACCTTCCCAACAGCCCTATACCCGGCAACAGGAGGCCATCAGTCACCTAGAAAATCTCTGGCTTATCTGGGAAAATTCTTAGTCCACCTATAAACAATCAATCAGTCCAGTGCAGCCATTTCTGTTAAAGTCAAACCTGCAACTTCTGTTCCTTTCCTACCTGCCCTCCTTACCTCACATTTGGGCTTTAACTCTGCATATCACTATCATTTAATCTTTCTAAAATATGATTTTCATCATTCCCTTCCAAGCTTATAAATGCTGTGCTTAATATTTGTAATTTATATCCACCAGGCGACCTTGGACACATTTGTTAATCACTGTGCTTCAGTCGACTTATCTGTAAAATGGGGATAACAGTATTGAACTCAGAGTTTTCATGAAAATTCACTGCGTTAATGTGAGAGAACCTAGAACAGTTAGCACTATGTATTTGTTAAATAAATAGTCTTCCCTACTGTTTTACCTGGCACTCAAAAGTGCTCACTTTTAAGAACTCATTCCTGTGGGTTTAGACACTATATGTCCATTTCAAATGATTATATTAAGAAATACCTGACAAACAGGTTATCAGTGAACACATATGTTCCTTACAGCAGCACATTTAATAGAAAAAGATTGAAAAATGTCTGTAGGAAAAAAAATGCTTAATAAAAGATGGTGAAGTCATACCACGGAAAACTGTGGATATAGATAAAAGTAAATTTGTAGATAAAAGTTGCATTGGCTTTTAGATGCACGGAGTAAGAGGTGCAATATGCTTTCATACACATTTGTTTCAGGAAGAATAGGATGTACATGAAACTGTAAGCAGAGGACACAGGTTTCTGTTAGGACATGAGGCTGTATGACCTTCCTACAATGAACATGTGTTACTTTGTAATTAAAGTTAAGTAAAAACAAAACAATGAGAAAAAAACTTAAAAATGTTTAAAACTTCCTTATCTCTGGGCACCTGGTGGCTCAGCTGGTTAAGCATTGGACCCCCTTGGTTTCGGCTCAGGTCATGATCTCACAGTTTCATGGCTCAGTGCTAGCAGTGCAGAACCTGCTTGGGATTCTCTCCTTCTCTCTCTGCTCCTTCCCCACTTGTACTGTCTCTGTCTCTCTCAAAATAAATAAATAAAACTTAAAAGAAAAAAACTTCCTATCTGCTTGTTTTCCTTTGATGATCAGGTTTTTATCTGAACTGCATGAAAATACCTGTGGTTTTTTTTGAGGTTGATGAGAAGTCAAATTGCTAGTATTTGCTTCAAAACCTCTTACTCACTAAAGATGGCTTTTTTTTTTTAATGTTTACTTATTTTTGAGAGACAGAGTGTGTGAGCGGGTGAGGAGCAGAGAGAGAGGGAGACACAGAATCTGAAGCAAGCTCCAGGCTCCGAGCTGTCAGCACAGAGCCCGACGCCGGCCTCGAACTCACAGACTGTGAGATCATAACCTGAACAAAGTCAGACGCCCAACCAACTGAGCCACCCAGGCACCCCTGATGGCTTTAAACACCTTGCAGATTAACCTCAAATGTTAGCCTTTATTTTTTGTCTGAGAAATAGGCATCATCAAATATTTATACTTCATCCTGAAAATCAGGCAAAGATCATAATGTAATTACCTGGGAAATGTTAATGAAATGAGACGCAAAGCCTTCTATCTCAAGTGTTCATGATGGTTATGGGAACAGCTACCCTTTTCAACAAACCTCAGACTTTCATAGGCAGACAATCTCCATGTAAAAGATTCTGAATTTTCTCATCTTCTTGAAAATCACTTCCACTACCAAGAGAAAACTCAGAGAGTTGTAAATTAAGTCGAGCACACTTGAAAAATGCCGTTTTCCATAGATGTTCTTCAGGATTTCCTATATGCTGGGATTCAAAGGGTTTGGGGTTTGTAAGTAAATGGTGGCGCTCTATAAGGAGTGACTAGAGTAAGCAGTCTCAAGGAAATTAATTACACGGTACGTTTTAACTATTTAGGTACCTCCTTTGCCTAGAAAAACAGCCTGTTGTTTTCATTTGTCATTACTGGGCCTCAAAAAGCTAGGCCTTAGCTACCACCTGGTGACGCCGATGACGCGCGATGTCCTACAGCTGCCGCAATTAGAAAGCTGAGCCTTCTCCTTTAAGAAGCTGACTCACGTGGATGCTGTGTTGTGTGCTCTCAGCTGGGAAGGAGGTGGATCCTAAGTCTCTTCACATTGGCCTCTTCCCGAGAAGGGGCAGAGTTAGCCTCTTTGATTGGCTGCACGAGTACGAGGAGTAGAGTCAGGGGCGGGGCGAGCTGCGGGAGCTGGCTCAGGATCTGCGGCTTCTGGGAGGGGTGGGCAGCGCCGCGGAGGGGTGAGGGAGTGGGGGAGGGTGAACCAGAAAAGGGGCGGGGCCCAGCGGAAGG